GAAACCTGCTTCTCCCTCTCCCACTCCCCCTGCTTGTGTTCCCTCTCTCGCTGTGTCTCTCTCTGTCAAATAAATAAATAAAATCTATAAAAAAAAGAAAACTTAAAAAAAAATCTATCAGGGACAGTGCTGAGGAAGAGCTTGGAGTGTGTGCATGAACTTTTCCATTCTTTTCAAATTCATACGATCGTGTATCTATTTTATCATCATAAATACCTGCCTGATAAAATCTGGAACTCAAAGTTTTCACTAGAATGCTAATATATAAAAAAATTGATTCTCACCAAATTCCCTGTTCTATTGTGAGAAAAACGTCATCTTGTGATATACTCAGCAAGATCTTTCTTCAGCTCACTGAACTTTTAGTATGCTCAGAAATGTATCTCCTTCTTTGCTGACTTAAGCATTGTTTTATTTTTGCCATGCCCTGAATGGTTCAAAGTCCATATTAAAACGCAAGGGTTTTGCAACCTTTGTTGATGCAAGCCTAGCAAGAATTCCCCAGCACTCCATCTCCTCATCAACAAAGCTGGAAAATACAATCTTAGCTTCCGTACTATCTTAGTCTCCAAAGGCTGTTTATTTGAAACAATGGTAGGAACACATGTGGACACTTACTTTTCATTCTTACATCCTCAGCTCATTTCTACTTCCTCCGTCTGCCTCCTACTTTTTTAGATTTAGTTGCACTCAGCTCAGATGTCACCATCTCTGTGAACCTCACCCCAAGTCAATCAGGAATAGAAATCTAACTGGAAAGAGCTTTGTGATTAAAAAAAAAAAAAAAAGAAAGAGTGTATGCGGGTGGCTTTATTGGCTCCCATAACTGGAAGCCCAGGAGCCCAGGTTGGTTGAGCCAGGGACTGAAATGATGTCATCTGAACTCTGTCTCTTTTGCATCTTTCAACTTAGCTTCTCTTCTGCAGAGTGGCAGAAAGCCACCCCGACAGACAGCCCCTGATCCACATTCTCCCAGCTCCATAACCCCAGTAGGGCAAGGAAGGGGCATGAGATGAGTCCACATATAAATTCAGGACAGGATTCTGTTTGGTCCAGCTTGGGTCTTGTACCCAGGACTGTGGCGGGTGTGAGAAGATAAATGATTGACAATCTGACCAGGATCAAATGAAGTGAGACGGGGGAGCTCCCCCAAAATAAATCGGGATGCTGAGAAGGCAAAGAAACACAAATGATGGAATTTTTGATAAAGGATGTCCCCAGTTCTCCACCTGCCTGTATATCTCCACCTATTTGCAATGTCATTTTACAGCTCCTCCAATCAAGAGATAAAATCTATTTTCCCCTGAATCTGGGCCGGGCTTGTAATTTGGTTTGACCAGTAGGATGAAGTGAAAGTGAAGGCATGTCAGTCCCAAGCGCTGGCCTTAAGAGGCCTTGAGTTTCCTTCCTCCTCCAAGTCCTCATAGCCCTTAGTCAAACAGCCCACATTATACTGTTGCAATTTTTATATTGAATTGTAATCATTCCTTGTAATTATTTGTTTACATGTCTATATCCTTGTCAATAAGTTCTGTGAGGGAGGGATTTTTTTTTTTTTTTTAATCTTTTTGAGCCAAACAGAAACTGGTTCAACATTCAGAGGAATTCTGAGGCTAAGGAATGCCACCAAAAAACTATTTGTGAAACCTATGCTGAGTGCCCAAATCACTGGCCAGTTTGAATATCTTTACTTATATATGGGGGCCATTTGTTTTTCCTGATTTTTGTATGTCTTTCCATTGGGTTATTTCTTCTTACTAGTTTGTAAAGGGTTTTTTGTAATATCTTCTGCATAGGTATTCTTTACCACATCCATGCATTGAAAATATTCCTTCCCAGTCCGTGAACTTCTCCCTTCTCTTACACTATCGTTGGTGAGCTATCAAACTAAACTCAATTTTTGAGTTTTCCTGAGGCTTAACTTTTCAATCTTTCCTTTATATTTTGTACTTTTTGTATTTATTTAAGAATGTCTCCTTATCCCACGGTCATAAACACACCCTCCTACATTGTCTGCTAAAAACTTGGGAGTTTGTTTCTCATACTCGGGTCTTTAATCCATCTGGAGCTGAGTCGTATATGATATAAGGTAGAGAGTCAATTGTCCCAGTATTATTTAGTGAATATTTATCTTTGCCCCCTCACTTGGGATGCCAGCTCAGAGCACATTTCTATATGAGCAGGGTCCATGTCAGCTATCCCTACGTGGCCGCACTAAGCTATTTGTTGATCCCTGCACGAACACACTACCTCCCTGTATTTATAGGATGAGTCACTCCACCTTACTCTTTTTCTTCAAAATTGTTTTGGCTATTTCTAGTTCTTTATTTTTCCATATACACTTTATAGTCATCAAGTTGTACATACACACTCATACACTAGTTTTGTCAGAATTTGGTTTGGAATTGCATTGCATTTATAGGTTATTTGAGGAAGAATTTATGACTTTAAAAATGGAATCTTCTCCTCCATGAACATGATGTAATTCACCATATAGTAGATTTCATCTGCCCCCAAGATATACCTAAGAACCCAGTAATTCTCACGACCTCATCTGTATCAACCGGATCCAAGCCAACCCTGTAGCCTCCCTCCTGGCCTCTTTCTGCCTCCACATCACCTCCCCTATGGCCTGTTTTCCACACAGTAGCCAGAGCCATTCTTTTAAAGACATAAGTCAGTTCGTGGCCTTTGTGCCGCCTAAAATTGCTCTGTGGCACCACCGGTGCCCAATTCCACACTTTGGGAAACACGGCTTTCAGTGAACAAATGCGTGAGTGAACGGGTGGCTGCGGACTCTTTGCAAGACCCTGGCAATAAAGAAATGATCGAGTAAGGGGTGGTCCCCTCGGGGAAACCCAGATGGAAAGCAATGGCATTGGCCTAAGCCGAGTGCGCCTCACAAGCGGCGAGGAAGAAGTTGGGAGTTCACCGCGGTGACGGAGAGCGGGGAGGAGACAGCCGCGAAAGCGCGGGCACGGGGGAGCGCGCGGGGCGCGGCGCGAGGCTGGGCGGAGAGCTCCGCGACTCCGGGTTGGGTCCGGGGCTCCACGCGGCCGCCTCGCTCCGCACGGGGACGCGCTCCGAGAGCGCGCACCGGGCCGCGGCGGCGCGCGGGGCCGCTCTGGCGGGAGAAGCGCTTCCGGTGGCGGCGCAGACGGCGCTGAGTGAGTCCTGCGAGCGGCGCGGGCGGTGGGGAACGGTGAGTCGCGGGCGGCGGGCCGGGCCGGGTGGCGAGAGCGCGGAGGGTCGAGGGCCGGGGCGGGGGCGCGCGGTCGAGGGTTGGCGGCGCGGAGACCCGCCCCCCCCCGGGCGGGATATCAGGAGCCCCCGCGCCGTGCCGGGGATTTCGGGGCCGGGGTTGGCGGCGGGGGGAGGGGGGCCGCGCACCTTGCGGACCCCTACCCTCCCGCTGCCTGGCAGCTTCCCCGCCTGCAGCAGCCTGACCTGCCCCTGAGGTCCCCCTGAGCCCGGGTGGTGGAGTGCGTCTCGCCCCGGATGGGAAGGGGCTCACCCATCCACGCCGGCACGCGCCCTGCCACGCTGTGCCCAGCGGCCGCGTGACGAAACTCCCCGCGGTGAGGACACCCAAAATGGCTGCCGCGGGGACAGGCCACCGCGCTACGGGCGCGAGTGATTGCCTGGCGACCGGGTGTTACCGACCCCCGTGCCCCCACATTCCGAGCTCTTGGCTTCTCCTCCTGGCGCAGAGCGGGGCTCCGGGGTGAGAGGAGACCCCCTGGCCCCTGCCCTGGAACCCGCAATCTTGGAGGAAAGAGATAGGTGAGAGAGTGGTCCTGGACCGACCTTGCATCTCCATGCTCTCTTGATCTTTCCCACATGTCACAGGTCTCTAACCTTCCCAGAATGACAACCAAGGCATCCACTAAGTGCATGCAGGTGACTTAGGTTCATTGACTTTTACATTCTTCCAGCCCTGTGAGGTTCTTGGTTTTGCTTTCATAATCCCGATGCAAAAGCTGGTACTCAGAGAGGTTGAGTGACATGTGCAAGGTCACACAGTTGGCCGTCTCTAGAGCAAGGCCAAGCCTCAGCTTAAGTGTTACTTGCTCAAAGATACTTTTCCTTGACTGTGTTGTCTAAAATTGCCCCCTCATGCAGGCATTCTTTGTTAGACTACCTCTGTGATTTTTCTTTCATACCATTTGTCATCAGTTGAAATTAACTGTGTTTCCTTGCTCGTTTTTTTCTCATCTTGCAACCAGGGCCTACTTTTGTCTTGCTCTCCTATCCATCAATTGCCTGTACCAGGTAGACCCTCAATGAATATTTGTTGAGTGCCTGAATGAAAAAGCCTACTTCTGAGTGACTTCAGAGCTCAGGCATTCAACCACTTCATGGACACCTGCCTTCTGAACCCCAACTGCATTTTGTTTGTACTTTTCTCAAACTCATAATTTCTTCTTCTGCCTTGCCCTCTAGTTTTTGACTTGGGCACCTCTTGATTTTCTCTTCCATTGTCCATCCCCAGTTTCCAGGCGTTATAATAGGTGGGAAGTGGGTATGCAGGTAAATAAGGAGCCTTTGCAGCTCTTACGGTGCTGGACTCAGACTTGACATACAAGATATGTGAGATGAGAGCGGAACTCTTTGGGAGGATGAGTGGAAGCTCTACCAAGAAGTTCTGGGAACTCAAGCAGGTCCTTTCTCCCTTTAGGACCGCAGGTGACTAGCTTGCAAAAATGACAGTTTGGAAGGAAAGATCTATCTGTTCCTATCTCGCCTAGCCCTACGTATAATTGCTCCAAGTATGCATTCAAGTGTTAGATTGAGTGTGCAGGTTTTTAAGCCCATGGGCCTTCTGGAAAGGGACAGTATCTGTGGTTGTAGTTGTAAGAGAGGAACCTGTATAGCAAAGCTGGCTATACTTCAGGGTCAGTCAGATACTTAGAGTGCTCTTAATACTCTGTAGAAGTTTTATGAAATCTCATGTGGATGAGTATAGAGAGGTACCAACTGGGAGGAAGCATTCCCCCCACCCTTTACTTCCTGGGGAGAAAGCTTAGAGGACATCCAGGGCAGCAGTAATCTTAAAAGCCTGTCCATCATCCAAACTTTTTGCTCTCCAGTACCTTAGAATAAAATATGGCATCTACAGCCATCCTACTGTGCAAGCAGTGGTCAGATGTATTTAGTTGGAATATAATCATGGGTGGAACTGACCTTTTGTGTGAGGTTAAAGGTGAAAAATCAGTAGCAATAAGTCGTAAAAAAAAAGGCTGACTTATCTAGAATGTGAAAAATTACTAAGTTAGAATACGTATCAAACCTATACGTAATTATACAAAGTTCAAAGTTACTAAGTTTTTAGTTAACTATTACTTTGTCAGATGTTTTCAGAGACATTATATGTAACCTGATTTGACTCTTTGAAGTGGGTAGTAAAATAAATACTCAACTGAATTCATCCAAAATACTACAGTTTGGTAGTATTTTAACATTTTTATAGGCTGATGCCACCATCTCAAGTAAAAACCAATTAAAAATAATGGATGAGAACTTCATCCATCCTAAGAAAGTGATTAAGAAACCCAAGCCCAAAGTTGATCTTAAGGACTGAAATACGGCCAATGATTGCATTGTCACTGGGATGTTCTCAAGGTAATCCAAGAGTGAGGTCTGCATTGTGGGGTGGGAGATAGGGGGTGAGGAGGATGCCGGCAGGGAGACAGGCAGAAGGCAATAATTCTCCATGTCTTCTTGAATCTAGAGAAGCCCCCTAGAATAGAGAAGAATATGCAACAGAAAGCCATTGATGAGTGGAAATTCGCTTTGAAGGAGTCTAGGTCTTTGCCCAGGATTCAGCTTTCTGGTCTGTAATTTGATCTCCTGTGTGGCCACGCCTATGAGAAAGGAATGGGGTGTGTGGACAAGCAGCCCAAAGCTAAACAAATTAGTAAATGTGCTATTTAGGCTCCTCTAGTTAGGGTGATTGCCCTTGGCAGCCACATCACCTCTGGCCTCCCAAGGGTCAGAAGCTTGGCGGAAAGTCAGACAGAAGCAGCGCTTCCAGGCCCTGCCATCTTGCGGGTGATGCTTGATTTTTCTGAGCAGCTCTACAAACAAGGGACATTTTCTTGGAGGACTGAAATGAGGATTTGGCATCTCATAATGCCTGGAAAGCCTAGTGTCTGGCACATAATGGGTACTCAGTCATGTCCCCCAGACAGTGACGTTGGCGGGGTGTTTCACACCTGCTTGCCCCTAACAGGGCCAAACAAACAGGCGACCTGGCTTTCTTACCTCTTTCAAACCTCTTTCAAAGTTGTTTTAATTACTAGCAAATTCCCAGTTTAATAATTTAATTTCCATTGTTAATTTTTAGTCAGGGTTAAAGGTCTTTGTTAAAGAGTCCCTGATGAAAAGCACATTCTCTGCTAACTAGTTACCTGCAAAATTTTGGAAGAAAAATTTTTGCCAATTTAAGCATTTTCTTGGCATGTAGCTAAAAGTTGGAAAATAAAGTTTATCTTGGAAAAAAGTGATTTTTGTTAGACATTTCTGATCATCTTCAGGCAGCCAAGCTCTAGTCCATTTCTTCCCCAACCCCATCACCACCACCACCACCACCAGCGACTGCATTTATGGGCAGGACTTCAGCCAGTGAGGACAGGAGCTCCCACTCATGGGGAACTGGCTCGTTAGACATGTGCCCTACCTTTGTTTAGCATTTTACAATTAATAAAGGTTTAAAAGCTATCTTGTACACCTCAGCTTACTAATCTTACCAACTCTATGAGCCAACTCTTTCCTCTATCTTATAGATAAAAATATTGAGGCTCAGAGATGTGAAGTGACTCACCTGGTGACATGCCTAGAAAGGAAGTGACAGAATCAGGAGTCCAGTCCACACTGCGTTCGGTCCAGTCCAGTTCTGATTCCAAAGGTTGTCAGGGTAGGTGCTCACAGGACCAGGCCACAGGGCAGAGAGCTAGCCTCAACAGGAACCTGCCAGAAAGAACAGGCCGAGCAACCAGCATTAACGACCAGGGAGTCACCTAAACATCCGTACTGGCCCTGCAAGAGGGTCAGCATCATCCCGCAACTGGCAGGGGATTGGGTCATTATTTATTTATTATTTTTATGTTCTTTCCAGCATAATTCTCCCAGACTTACCTAATCATAGGATACCCCTGGTGTACTTCTTAAAAATCTAATTCCTAGGCCCCACCAGAGCTCTACTGAATCAGAATCTCCAGGAAAATACTTTCCTGGTCACAACTGCTTCTCCAGTGAGCCGGGTTCTGGAGTTGGACAACTTAGGTTCACATTCTGCCACCCCTACTTACTTGATCAAGTTTGCTATCCACCCTTGGAAACTGAACTGTTGTGAGGGTTAGATGAGATAATCATACAAGAAAAGCTCTTAGAATATAAAGTTATTAAATTAGTGGTTTTTATGAAGTAGTATACTAATTTTGTTGATAATGATCCAGGAACTTGGAGCAGTGGGCTAATGTATACAAGGTCACAACGTCATTGGTGGAGCTGGGATGTGAGCTCAGATCTGCTGTCTCCACAAACACAGTCGCCTGATCAGTACACACCACTTCCTTCCTTCCCTCCATCCAGGGATCCCCAGTTACAGAACAGTTGGGAAGGTACAGCTTGGAGCCAGGAATTCAAGCTCAGCTCACCAACTCGTTCAGTGAACTTATTTGGAAACGAAACTGATCACCATTGCCTAATCAGTGCAGACTTCACCAGCCATGAGGCTTATATGTGGTGGGAGGTGGTCCTGGGCCTAGGAACAAGGGGGTGGTCTTTACCCTTGCATAGCTGTTCACTGACTGTGTGACATCTAACCTACCAGGAAGGCAGAAATGCCCTCCCAGAATTGTTCATGAAGATTGTGATGTAGTTTAAATAATGACTTGGGGAAAGATGGAGTTCATTAACATTGCCAGTAGGCCTATAATGTCTTACTGCGTTATGAGTAGAAGATCTTTGTCACGGCACTCATTTGGGCTTTAAAAGTTTATAAACTTGGAGTAAGTACATGGGTGGTGCAGTCGATTGAGCGGCCACTTCATGGTTTCAGCTCAGGTCTTGATTTCGGGGACATGAGATCAAGCCCCAAGTTCGGCTCTGCACTCAGCGTGGAGTCTGCTTAGGAGTCTCTCTCCCTTTGCCCTTCCCCCCACATGCCTGCTATGTCTCTCTCTCTAAAAATAAATCTTT